TCAGTGTACTTTATAACACAACATACTACCTGGGATTGACTCGTGGTTCTAAAGAGTTATAAATGCAGATAGTAGGCCATGAAAATAGCTCTCATTTTCACTATATATATTACAAAATACAAATCTCTCCCCACAAATGGATACCATACCATTAAATTAATTTGTCATTTTAATCCTTGCATGTTCATTAAAGTGTTTAATTTAATAAGCATTTAGCAAATGCTGCCATGTGTGAGATGCCATGTGTGAAGGACAACAAAGATGGCTAAGACCTTGTTTCTTCACTAAGGTAATAATGAGACAGAAACACTAGAGACAGAAACACTCACATCTCTGGTTGTTATCAAAATCAGACTTTAATAATGTTTTAATAGAATTGCATGCAAATCACTACAGAAATCTAGCAGGAAGCAGGATTTATTTTGACTTGGAAGCAAGGGTTACATTGAAATAGACTTTAAAGAAGAGGTATCTTTTAAACAGGACCTTTTAAGAATGGATAGGATTTTGGGCATCCCTGATGATGCAGGGTGTTAAGTCTCAGCACCGTGAAACCATCCACAGCCTCTGCAGCATGGCTGGCCAGGGAGCTGACTCATATGGTGCAGCAGACCTCTCCTGTCTCGCCTGCTGCTCCCCTCAGCAGTGTATTTCAGGCAATCTGCCTGTTCTGTTCCCCACTCTGTCTCTGGTGACTCCTCTCACCCTCCACATCTCTGGCCTGTACCCCAGTTTTTGTATGCATAAATAAATAAATCTTTAAAAAAATAGATAGGATTTCAACAAGAGAACAGGGGGAAGCGGACTTTCTGGGAGAGGGGATGGTGGATGGCGTAAACAAAGGTATGAAGGCCTATTAGATACACAGTGGATTATGCCTCAACAAGTATACTTTTAAAATAATTGTTTAGTTTAGGATTAACAGGGATGCAACACATAGATGTTTACTAAAGGAAAATCAGGTAGCTTGGGAAGAATGTGATTTAGCTTAGTTTATCAACCCTGGCCTTTCTCAGTCTCATGAAGACATATTTGCCAATGGATTCATGGATTGAAGAGTTTGAATTATTTTATGCATCAACTTCACTAGGCCACAGTGTCCAGACTTTTGGTCAAATCCCAATCTAGATGTCACTGTGGTGGTAATTTTCCAATGAAATTAACATTTAATCAGTAGACTTTGAGTAAAGCAGATTTTCTTGATAATGTGGGTGGACCTCATCCAATCAGATGAAGGCCTTGTGAGGAAAAGTCTTCATTTCTCCTAAGAAGAAGAGTGTTTCTGTCTCTAGACTGCCTTCAGGTTTGAGCTGCAATACCAGTTCGTCCCTGTGTTACCAGCCTCCAGCCTGCCCTGCAGATATTGGACGTGTGTGTGTGTGTGTGTGTGTGTGTGTGTTGTGTGTGTTTCTCAAGAGAACCCTGACTAATACAAGCACATATATTGTGAAATAGAGTGACACATTAGTCAGCCTTTTCCTGTATGTCAAAATTTTCATGAAAATGATATAAGCTAATATAGAAATGCGTCCTGCACAGTTCATAATCATAGAACCACTGGCAATTTAATATTCTGTTTAAATATGTATGCAGTGCTAATCCTATATACTAGAATACACATACCAGCGTGGTAGAAGATCAGGTTGAAAAGATAAGTTTGTACCTGATCTCAATTGTCCTAGAGTGCTGACTTTTATCAAGAAGGAGCTGCTACAGGTTTTTGTGCAAGGCTTGACTTAAGGGACTGCTAAGGGAGCAATAAGATATATAAATTGAACCAAAGATAGGAGGTCAAGGGTGAAGCCATTGTGTTCATTGTTGCAAGCACTAACAAGAACCTAAACAGGGTAGTGGCAGTAGGAACAGAAATGAAGGAGCAGATGGGAGAACTGCTTTGAAAGAAATCATCATGCAACACAATAACCACTCTGCATAGCATTAAATATGTGTCAAGTGAATTTTGCAACTTCATTTGGCTCTGGTGACTTTCACTCATCAGGTAAGGGTTTTCATAATTTATTGGTCATCTGTTCACATAGTTTTTAATTAAGATTATAATTTCTGAGAGGGAGAGACTATGACTGTTTTGTTTTCTACAATTCCACGTTCATCATAATTGGCACTGACTAGATATTTTTTGAATGAATGGATGGATGAGTGCTACCCTGCACAAATCAGAATACTTTTCCATGTTCTCTTCTCTCTTACTCTCCTCTGTCCCTATCCCTCATCCCCCTGCCAAATATTTCTCTCCCTCTCACCTCCTTAAGGTTGTTCTAGGGGAATTTGCCTCCTGGAAGTAACCAGATGACTGAGAAATCTGCATTCAGTGAGATGTTGATAAGATTCTGTTCTTTCAATCCTGCCATCAGTGAAGCTCAACTGGCTCTCTGTGCTATTTTGTAATAAATCTAATAAATAATCTAATAAATCAAGCTAATAAATTTCCAATGAGTAAATATTGAAAACTGAGTTGCAATCCAGTTGAGTCTCCAATTTTATTCCCTCTGCCCTCCTCCCCTGCCACCACCGCCAAGATTAGACTTCCCTTAAGAGTCTGGTAACTTTCTCCATTCTGATTCTACATTCCTTGGTGCTGGGACAAGAAGAGGGTGGGGGAAGGGCAGATTTCTTTATAATTAATTGGGTTTGCCAAATGCCCAAAAATAGATGACTGGATCAAGAAGATGTGGTACATATACACCATGGAATATTACTCAGCATTCAAAAAAGATAAACACATGCAATTTGCAGCAACATGGATGGCGCTGGAAGGGATCCTGCTCAGCGAAATAAGCCAGGAAGAAAAAGAAAAATACCGGATGGTCTCACTCATAGCAGGAATCTAGAAAACTTAAATAAGGGACCAGGAAAATGAATAGCTATAAGAAAGTGAAAATCAAAATCAACAAACAACTATGAAACAGAGACACTCTATGGGGGATGGGGAGCAGGGAGGGGAAGGATTGGGGTCAAAATAAGGGGGTTGCAATTGTATGGGGAATATAAAAATAAAATTTATTTAAAAAAATAATTAATTGGGTTTGCTTTGAGGAGTTCTAGTGAGTCTCCCCACCATTGCACTTTCACTAATGCAGACTATGCTGACTCCAATAAGCAGAGAGAGAGAGAGAGAGAGAGAGCTTGCTAGTGCTCAGGGTGACCTCTGGGAACCCCACTGCAGTTATCTGACTGGGTCATTAACTCTAACCCAACTTTTTCATCAAGTCTCCTCAAGCATGTCACCAGTATCCTCTGCAGATCAGCTGTGGTCAGCTTCATGGATGGGAACAGCAAGGCCTCCATGCCAGCCTACTCGTTTCAGTTCCACTCTCCCTTTCTCCCTCCCTTCCATCCATCCTTCACGCTCTCTAGTTATTTTCTTATGCTGACTGAACAGCCAGGGAGTTTGATGAGGCTGGGGCAATTGTTCAGGGTATCAGAGTCTGTCCAATCACCTTTAACTAAGTCCTGGAGACTATCCTAGCCCCAATATTTTTGCAAATCTCTATAGAACATAATAACTGATCCTGATTTGGTTCCTTGTCTCCTATTTTATATACACATGACATCCGTTATTTGCAACGACCAATAAACTTCATTTTGCAAACCCCAAGATGTCATTTATATTTGTAGCTACTGTATAATAAACACTGAGTTAAGAGCTAGTGAACAGACATTTACTGAGTCACTATAATGCATCAATGTAAAAGTGAAATACAAAAGTCTGATGTAATTCAGACTCTAATGCAGAGAATGAATTATGCTACCACCTTAAAATGGAGGGCATTTAAACCTCAAGGTGGAAACAGTCTGGGGAGTAAAACAATAAGCGAAGGAAAAGAGAAGCTGTATTAAAATGAAGGAAGGAGAATTTCAAGAATGAGAAACTGCAAAGTGACAGAAATCCTCACGTGTTTATGATTGAAATCTGAATCTCTGACGCCCAGACTAATCTTTTCTCTGCTCACATGTCAGAATCATATAAATTTCCATTAATATTTATCTCCTTGATACTGAAGGAAGAGCAAAATCTCTTGCATTTTGCCCCATTTTGCTGCTCCCATCAGGCCTTTCGCTGAAGGATCTCCTCAGACTGACGGGAGCCAGCTGTCCCTCCATGCAGGGGGAGATATATGGAATGCAAAGCAGCCCAAGTCTTAGAAGTGAGTTACATCCTAGAGCAAGAACTGCAAATTCAACTCAAATCTCAAATAAAAGCTCAAGGACTAGAATAATCCATACAAAATTTTCAACCCAGAAGTTTCTCTTGCTTAAATTACTTTCACACTCCAATTTAAACTCAGAAACATTATGTTGCTGTCACACTTCTTTGTTCTCCTAAAGTAAAAAAAAAAAAAAATCTGTATATAGCTGACAAAAAATAGGAACCTGTCTGCCAGCAAGTTCTCTATTCACGTCTAACATACTGTAGAGTCTCTGCAGAACACATGGTCTTTAAACACCCAAAGCCTCTTCTTTACTGACTTAACACAGCAGTGTGTTTCTCCAGTATGTTTGCACTACCTACAGTCCATGCCTTGCCTAAGTCTGGATCCTCTGAATGTTTAAGTCATGCAGTATTTTCACATGCTTTGATGTTGTGCATATGACAATTATCATCTACATTTTGGGTGTGCTGTTCCTTGGGCCTTCAGCATTGAATTGAAGGCTGCTCCACTGACATCATTTTAAATTCCATCCAACAGAATGCCAATAATATCTATAGCAGAAGCTTGACATATTTAGTTCTCTCAAATGTGGAGTGATTTAGCAGCTAAAGTGGAAATTTCCCAGTGTGTTTTTGAAAACGAATTCAGCGTGAAAATTATTAATGATTTAGGATTGTACGTGAAAGTATTTTGGTTTCCTTTATTTCCTTATCCAGAAAGATCTGTGGCTGCCTATTAGATACATTTCCAAGTGACAGCATGCTTTCTCTTGTTGGAACACAATGTCAACAGTTTAAATGGATCCTAATAGGATTTTCTTAATTACAGATGAGACCCATTGGTCATGATGGCTATCACCCCACCTCTGTCGCTGAGTGGCTGGATTCCATTGAACTAGGCGACTACACCAAAGCCTTCCTCATCAATGGCTACACATCGATGGACCTGTTGAAAAAAATCTGGGAGGTTGAACTTATTAATGTAAGTTGGTCTCTTAAAGACATCTCGGCCATTCAGCCCTTGATAAATGCCTGTTGTCAGTGGGTAATTTTTTCTTTCTTTGTCACTGTTTGAACATACAGCCAGGATTGACAGATGGGCCTCCTGCTTTAAATATCTGTCTCTCTTGGTTCCAATCAAGTTCCACTGTCATTGCTTTTCGAAATTTCGATGTGGGAAACTCAGAGGACTCTCAGGGTATTTGACGTTATCTAAGAAAACCTTCCAAGCATTTGGGGATTTTCCATTTTAGGAAATGTTGTCAGTTTAAGATATGGACGTGGTAACAAATTGGCTCCTTTTTGATCTTTGCTCATATTCATTGTTGAAAACTGAGTGAGTTTATCTTGTTAGTTTTCTGTCTCTATTATTTCTCTTTGTCTCTATTCCTTAATTGTACATGTACAACCCATACTCAAAGGGACTGCCTTTGTCCTTATTATTTTACAGGGCTTATAGCTAATCATAAGTTGTCTCTGTTTTATTCATACTCTTGGCATAGATTTTCCATAAAAACTAGCCAACATATGTTATCATGTATTCCAGCCTCTAGAGGCTCACTAAATCTACATGAGTGGTTTTGATTCTGATAACTTTCTCATTTCAAGTATCACCGTTTTATTTCCAATGACATAAAGGAATGAAATGGATGAAAAGATAATGTGATTATGCTTTCCTATTACATCAGGCACCAAGAGTTTCTTTTCAAAAGTGAGAAAAGCATCTCATCTTTAAGAGAATTTTTAAGTTTTATGTTCTAATAATTTGGAGAAAAGCATTCATAAACTAAGAGATAAAGCAAACAAACTTCAGCTGACTCAGAAGTTCTCTATTCTACTATCTAGTTCACTTTCTCTCTGAAAGTCCAGTCTCTACAAATTGCATGTCATTAATTATTGTAAATGATGATTGTTAGTCCTGATGAATTATTCTTTATTTCTAGAACTCTGTCATAAAAGTAATATCTTTGCTGGTACATCTCATGAAAACTTTTTTCATCTAAAAATCGCATTAAATGAACAAATTCTTGATTCCTTCAATTTTGCCACCAGCTACTCTTAACTTTCTGTCCTTTTATCCCATTGCAAAAGCGATGATTATTTCAGAAGAAACTCACTATCTGGCAAAAGCCTCTGATTAATTTTGTTCCTTGGTTGTGATAGAACTAGCTGAAATATTGCCTTCTTGGTTGCAAGATTTCATCTCTCTGCTGAAAGCTGGCACTTACAGCTATTCTCAGCCATTTGTTAAAGGGTTACCTTCCACAGATCAAACAAACATGCTTCCAATTAAATTGCATTCTCGTCAATGATACAGTTTGATAAATGCCTGTATGTCTAACATCTTCTAGATACTATTGTTCCCCACTGACGAACAAATACTTATCATAGCAATGAGTTGTGTTCACCTAACTGATATTAGCAGTAATTCTCCTCTGAGAGAAAAATTAAAAAGATTCCAGTAGAGCTATTATGAAATGTTTTCATAGAAGTCAGCATCATTAAGGCAAGACAGTCTGTCTCTCAGGATAGAAATACTGGGGCAAAGCATTTGTGGTGTGGGAGTAGACCCACACTTTCCCCAGTGCTGTGGGTGCCCACAGCCTCGAAGTCATCACCCAGTCACTGTGGCCAGGCCTGGGGCATGGCTGTGATCGTTGCAGGAAGACCCAGGCTAACTGTCAGGGCCCAGGGACCAATGCAGCACCACCCACAGGGCCCCCAAGATGGAGTTGGGACAGAAGGACCTGGCCTTTTCCTCCCACACTGGCTCTTTAAGGGTTTTCCCTTCAGCCATGCTTACTACAATACAATCTGACTTCAATCCAGAGAGCAAGAGTGTCTCTGTCAAAAGCATTGCATCCAAATTGGAAAATATAGTCACTGTGTTTTTAGACCTTGAGGTCAGATTCCTCTGCCTGCAGCATAACCTCTGCATCTAGCACAACCAAGTATATTTTCTTTAAAGCAAACTACTAGAATTTAAAGTTCCCAGTGATGTCTTTATGAGGAAGTTCATGTTATTTGCAGTTCTTATGGGCAAAAACTGATCTGTACTTTTAGACATGGAAATCAGAGAATAAAATTTGTCTGCCCACTAGGGCTGCTACCAAAGCAGTTCATTTGATACTTGAGGGTTGCTGGATTTTAAAATGAGAAAAAAAGAATAGTGTAAGCCTTCTGGCTTACAAAGCTTTTGACTAGTCTCTTATTCAAGACTTGTTTATCCCAACTATTAAAGGAAGGTATTCAAATATAAGATAACTTTATATATAATATATAGATACAATAACTCTATATGAAGTACTCATTTGTTATTTTCTAGTCTGAAAGTACAGTCATCTTGATTTGGCACAAAGTTTTTAGGGAAATTCACATCCAGAATCTTTATACTGAGTGGCTATTTTTAAGGAAAACAAATGGCTCCAATACCTACTGTTCTGTGTAAAGTAAAGAGAGTAGCTTAAGTATAAATTGTTTTTGATACAGGGGTCTGCTAGTGGTGGGGCAAGATGGGAAGGATGCAAAGTGCTGATATGATAACAAACTATTTGAGCATCACTAAGCACAACCAAGTAAGCCTCCAATTTCATATGCACTTAGTGTTAGAGAAATAGTAATATGTTCTCAGTAGGTATAATATGTTTATTCAGAGTATTTTTGTGAGTCTACAAGGTTGTGACTTGGAAAATTACAAATATGTTTGAAATTGTAATATTTCAGAAAGTCTCTCAAAGATCTTTTTCATTTAAATTTCTCAGCAGACTTATTGGGTTCCCTTCTATTCCTGCTATAAGTGAAACCATCCGATATTTTTTTCCTTTTGACTTATTTCACTGAGCATAATTCCTTCTAGTTCCATCCACGTTGTGGCAAATGGCATGAGTTTATCTTTTTTGATTGCTGAGTAATATTCCATTGTGTATATATACCACATCTTCTTGATCCAGTCATCTGTTTTTGGGCATTTGGGTTGTTTCCACGTTTTACCTATTGTAAATAGTGCTGCAGTAAACATAAGTGTACAGGCATTCTTTTGAATCAATGTTTTTGTGTCCTTTGGGTAGATGCCTAGTATACTACACAACTGTTTAAAACAAAGATGAACTCTTACTATCTTGTGTCAACATGCATGGAACTGGAGAGGATTATGCTAAACAAAATAAATCAGAATAAGAAAGAAAAATATTAGATGTTATCACTTATAAATGGAATATAAAGAAACATAACTAAGGGCCAGATACAGCCAAACCAATAACATAATCTAGAACTCTGGCAGTAGAATTGAGGCTGCCATAGGGGGAGGTGGAGATGAGGAAGCAGAGGAAAGAGGGAGCACAATGGACTTTGGTGGAGGATTATGGGTGGCTTGGTGGTGAGGGTGATGTGGTACCACATTTCTGAAGGGTATGATCCTATATCTCATATAGAGCATTATAAACCAATGTTGCCTCAGTTGAAAAATAAAAAAGACAGATGGTTTCACCAGCTTTACAGGCCCATGTGTATCTAGACTTGGAGAATAAAGTTAGTCAATAACTGTTCCCTTTATTCCCCAAGTTTTGCTTCATACACAGAAACTATTATTTTATCAATAGCTCTGTTTTGCCCGTGTCTGTCACTATTATTAATAGCAATGTTAATGCTGCTTTCATTTTTGTATTGATCTTCTAATAAAATATTAATATGTTGGGAGACATTGTCAGGCAAATTGTTCTTTCTGCAGATGCTGGCTGGATGAGCCTCTATCTTGAATTATAGTTACCTCCAAAGCCTTGTTATGAGAATGAAAAGCTAGTTAAAAGTACATGAATTTTCTTTATTTCAGAAGGTTACTTGGGGCTTGCATGTATGGTAATTACCAAGTTTGCATCCCAGTTGACAACCTTAACAGCCCTGCATGGGTATATTTTAGATTAAAAGGCTATATATTCTCTGCTTGGAATATGCATGGATAATTATGAAATCTCCATGAAATTATGCATTTTCTAAGCAAAAATTTTTTCAACTATGAAAAACAATGCTAATTTTATCACTAGGTACCAAATGAGGGTATTATGATTAGGCCAAATAAATTCCAACACTGACCAATTGGTTAATTTGGGAGCTTATTAATATATCATCAATTTCTTCCCATTGGTTTTACCACTATATACCAAGGAAATGATCCTCACTTAGGCTTATTACAACATTGATGATGCAAAATAAAATTCAGGCCTCAGTGTATTCTTAAATCTCGCTCCTGAGTACAAGAATAGATTTAAAAATCCAACCGCAGTGGTTGGCTGTGTTTTAAATACCTTTGGGTAGAAGCAAATAAAATAACTAAGGTAGCAATACCCATACGTGTCCCATGAAAATCATTTAGACTTCATTTTGCACAGCAAATTGATTAGAACATCATTTTGCTTCTTGCCTAATAGCTGATGAAACTATACTTACACCACTCTTGTTTAGCACTGTCAGATTTCTTTCTCTCTCTCTCTTTTTTTTATTTGCAATGATGTTGTTTTAATTTCTACCTTTCTGGGGACGTTTTGTGATAATCTAATCACTTGGTGAGGGTCTAAGAAATTTTCAAAGGAATCATTCTAGTTTCGTGTTCAATCTATAATAATAGGGCTTCATCTGCTTTAACTGCTGCAGACACTTAGTCCTATCAGTATCAAATTTAGACTCATTACTTGCTTTGATATTTTTATTTCATGATCATTATTATAAACACACTCCCAGCAGCCCTACTCTCATTGCTCTAACTGCAAATAAATTTGCTCCCCAAAAGTCTTTTTTCTGTGTGTGTGTGTGTGTGTGTATACACACATACATATTGGATAAAGGCAAATGATATATACTCCCAACCAAAAAGGAATAATCAACAAATTCACTAATTGTAGAGAAGAGATGGGAATGATGAATGTTATAATTCCATCTCCAAGCTAATTATATTAAGAAAAAGGTGATGCCTTCACTATAAGACATTAA